TAATTAATTAATTACTAATTTTCGACATATTTTGAAAATAATTGTTGTTTAAACAATTTTAGAATATTTAAATTTTGTTTTTGATCTTTGATAAACAGTATATAAGTTTATGCATTTACTTTTGATACAATAAAAAAATAAAGCTGATAATTAAAGGAAGTTTAAAGATAAATGATTATCGGACTGTTGAAAGACCAATAATTATTAACGATAATTGTGAGACATCGATTTAAAAAAAATCATCAAAATCGGACCTCTAGAAGCTGAGATATTAAAAATTTTTAAGCGCGTCGCGGTTTAGAACTCGCCGATTCAATTTCGAGCAGGCCGAAGCGGCTGCGCTCTCTGCTTCCCCCACCACCACCACCCGTACGATTTTCTTGAATTTCTCGGCTGCATAAATAACTTTAAACACGTTTTAAAGTAGGTTGCCAATGAAGAAAAGTATTGCAAACTTAGACCTGGTAAGTACTCGGAATATCAAAGGTATTTTTCAAAAAATTAGCCCGGATGTCCCAGTACATTTAGTGTAAATGACGGTTAACTTTGACCGGCTGTAACTACGTAACTAATTGACCAATCAATCTGTTTTTTTTTTTAAAGAAACGTCTGTCCAATAACTTTTAAAACCTGCTTTAAAAAATTTGTTTTGATTGAATATTCACAAAGTTATTCTAATTGTTTATAAGTACAAAAATTCGACCAATGTTTAAACAAGCACCAGAGCTCTCCTAATTGAATTTTTCAAAAAGCGTTTGAAAGCTTGAGAGCCCTTCTATATGTGATTAAATTTTCAAGTATCTAAGGGCTTTGGTTTTTACTGTGCAAAATTTTGAAAATTTGCAATTTTTTTTTCAAAATCTGCATTGCAAAATTATTATGCAAAATCTATCGAAATGATTTTGATGAAATTTGGTGTGATGATTCTACATAACATGAACTTTTCTCGAGCCAAGTATGAAGGTCCTATACACAACATAAAGACCCCAAAAAAAATCCCTAAAAAGTAATGATTTTTAACCCCATTTTTGGCAACTTTTTTCGATTTTTACAATAATAATCACGATTCATTCGATCTGTAACTAGTCATATTATGTAAAATTTAATTACAAAAATTTTTTTCCTCTTCCATTTTTGCCTAAAATCAACTCTTGAAAAGATACATAATTAAATAGGAAGAAAAATATGGCATTTTTCCAATTTTTTTAACATATTGTGCCGCCAAAAGTTAAGCCCACGTTTTCTTTATGCGCATAGAAAAATTTTCATTTCTACTGATATTTGAAAGTCAAAAAGCCAAAAATCTCCGTGGATATACGATTCACCCAAACCAAAACAGATACCGCCTAGTCCAAGGGTCGGCAACTGGCGGACCGTGGAAGGTAAAATACTGGACCGCCAAACATTTTTTGAAAGTATAAATTACTCAAATAAATTATTTAAAAAATGTTTTTTACGTTTAAGTGCCAATCTTATCATTTTTTCTAGTATTTTACAATTGTGTGAGTGTTTTGAGTTCTTAATTAGTAAGCAGATTAAATTTGANTTTTTTCTAGTATTTTACAATTGTGTGAGTGTTTTGAATTCTTAATTAGTAAGCAGATTAAATTTGAGTCCAAATTAAAATAAAAAAAATAAGAAATATTAATTTTTTTTCTGGACCTCATTAAAAATTTTCAAAAGTATCCGGACCGCACCTAAAATTACTTGTCGACCCCTGGCCTAGTCTAATATACCAAATATTTCACACACTCACTGAACACAAAAATTAGGTCATAATAAAAATACCCAGTATAGCAGCTGTAAGAGTTGATTTCTTTTTTTTTCTCTTTCTCGTTTACGCATCTCGCCAACTAAATGAAATTTGTTGTACTGTACATCGAATATTTTACATACTAAACATAAAAATTAGATTATTTATTGAAATTACCCAAACAAAATTGTTTCACAAACACATTTTCTTACATTCTCCATCAGGGGAAATCAGGAGGAAAACATAAATTTATTAATTTTACAGTCATTGCTCAAATAATGGTATATTTTAATTCCTTTAGATGTCACGACTTATATAAATATACTAAAGAAACAGAACTATGTTGCCATCTCAAACAAAGATACTAGTCCAGTATACAACGGTAAAAATAGGATATTACCTTCGAATTCTTGACACACGCACCGATTTCCATAAAAATTGGCGAATAAGCTCATTTCACCCTTCTTTACAAAAGTTACATATCAATAATGTGTGCTTATTGTTTTTAGGGGGTGAAAACTACCCCTTCTTGCAAAAAACGTAAATACCATAGATTTAAGTGTTATGTCAATAGAATAAGCATTCTTTTATGTTTTGAATAATAATTTTTGATTTGTAGCAACATTTCAACCCTTAAAATCCACCCTTTCCGAGGAAAAAAACAAAAATTAGTTTTCGCGGCTCTGAAATGTTTTGACGGAGCAATAATGAAGAATTGAATATTTTTTACTGTTTATAAAATATTACATGATTTATTGCAACGTTTCAACCCTTAAAAACCACCCTTATTGCAGAAAATAAAGCAAAATTTTTTTTTCGCATCTTCATAGAATTTATAATGAATGACTCATCTGTTTATAATATTACTGATGATTCATTGCAACATTACAACCCTTAAAAACAACTGTTAATGAGGAATTGAAGAATTTTTACCTGCTTCAAAACACTCAATATTTGTGTATTATACAATTATACGTTATTATCAAAAATTTACATATCATCTAAAGAACTATCATCAGTGTCGACTTCCTCTGTTTGGTTCGCGATTGGAGGACAATTTTGACAACTGTTCCCAGAACATGTTCGGAAGTTAAGCCATTTACAGGATCTGACAATTTTCACTGAATAATATAATTAGTTTTTTTCACAATAACTTTTTTATATTTTAATATTTTTCATTGCCCCAAAAAGCAATTTGCCGGGAATTGCAAGAACTACAAATCAACCCTTATAGTTGAAAGGTCTTGAACTTCTTCGAGATTTTTAGGTTTTAAGGGCTCAAAGAAGGTGGTCCTTACACGCAAATACAAACTAAAAAAAAACGTAATATCTGTTAAATTTTGCTCTTCAGAAAAAATCAAAGAGCAAAAATATAAAAAAATACCTTCAATTTTGAATTCTGGCATTTTTTTCCTTATCTTGTTTAGTTTTTGAGTTATTTGGAAAAAAAGGAAATTTTTTAGAAAATTGATTTTTTTTTAATTATTTCAAACTTTTCTTTAAATTTGGGCATTCTAAACCAGTCAAACTTGCAGAGTCTATTATTAGTACCTAAATAAAGTCAACTGTACATGGATTACGCTTAGTTTCTATTTTTATGGTTCAGCCATAGATTTTATTGTTGAATGAGATGACCATTTTATTTTCATCATAACTTCGCGAGTTTTTAAGCTACGAATTTTTTTCAAAAATCATTTCAAAGGTGTTTCCACGCACTTTAAAAAAGGTTATATTCATTTTCTTCGAAAAATTAGTTCTTTGACCATTATTTTACGGTAAAAGGTAGTGATGGGAGATTTCGAGTGAAAAATCGAGTGGTACTCGATTATTGAGATCACTCGAGATATCTCGAGATGTTTACTCCCACCACTCGAGTGATTATTACTCTACGGTTGCTCCCCAAAATGTTAGTGCATACTGCAAATAGTCACTGATTGCGTAACATTTTTTTTTAGAATAAAACGAAAAAGTGGTTAGGTTTTGAAGTGCGTGAGCTTTTTTTTTTTTTTTTAGCTACGCTTATAAGGGATATATGACTAATACAAACATATTTCTGCACCGCTGGGATGAAAACGACAAATATCTCGTATCTCGAGTGATCACTCGATTATTAGAAGTACTCGATTACCGATAACTCGATTTTCAAAATTGGTCTATTATGCCCATCACTAGTTAAAGGTTCGATTTTACTTTCCGAAAAATAAACAGTCACTTTTAGAGAGTGATATCTCGGTTATTATTACATCTACGGTAATCAACAAAAAATGAATCGATTCGTTATTTCAAAAGCTTTATTTTTGCTATATATGGGTTTTTTAATAAAACGCAAGGTTTTCGAGTTATTTATCAAAAATGGTTGAAAAACATGCACTTTTTAGATGAAAAATCACCATTTTCAATCGCAAATAACTCGGAAAATATTAATTTTTGGAAAAAACGTTGCTTAGAATTCATCCTTCTATTGATTTTTGCGATTAAAATGGGTGCCTTCATTGCCACCCCCAAGAAGGGATGGCATTCACCCCCAGGGTGAAAGCACACATCGGCACTAAGAAATCTTTGTTTCTTGAGCAATTTTCTACTTACTTTTAAAATTTCACGTCAATCGGTGCATGTGTCAAGAATTCGGACCTAAAAACCCCCATTTCTCCGCCTTATTTATACACCAAAGTGTCGAGCTGTAGTCATAACGTTCTATTATTGACAGTTATCATGTTGCAAATGTTTTTGATGCTCATTTACATGTTTTTAATATAATCACAAAGTATTCAAAAGGGAAACTGTTCTATTGTAATATTTATAGTAAAATCAATAAAAATAAGAATTTTTCAACTTACCGACATCCAAAATAAAAACGTACCTTATAATTTTTGTTCTTTTAGCGGGCTCTGGCAGCTGAGAGGAGGATATTAAGTCAGTCTGGAACTGTGACGGCTAGGTGTTTCTTGTGCGCGTCCGATATATCGGGAAAAGTGCCGTTTGAGTATTCGGGCAACAGATTTTGTACTATCGAGTGTTTGAAGGCACACAGGATAAAGAACCCAGTTGTTTTGTCATGATATATTTTAAATAAATTTTTTTTTAATCGCTAGAGGAAAAAATTATTTCCGTTAAAAAAAAAAGATGACATTATAATGTTTCAATTTTTATTACCAAAATTAACATATAACCATCTACAACAATTATAATTATTTAATTTGTTTTTATAGAAATTGCCCCTTATATTTTTCTTTGTCACGAGTGTTGAATTAAAAAAAAAAAAAAGTTTTACCTCGGAAATCGTTTAACATAAAGAACACCTCCTGGCAATTTCTATAAGTTCACTTGACATTAAAAAATTTCTATTTCTATTGCTCTCGAGACGGGAAAAGAATAAGCCGAGGGGTGTAAAAAAGCCTAATTTTTTTATCACAGTTTGTATAAATAACACTTTTTGATAAGCAGTTTCCTAGACGACAGAATAATAACAAAAAACGGAACGTTGAAACCTGTTCGGTAGAGAAGATTTTCAAAAGATATACACCGATATAAAAGCTAAAATGGAAGCAAGCATCGAATAAAGGTTGATGGTTGAATACCAAAATATACTTTAAATTGCATAAATAACCTTAATTTTTTTGACCCTAGAAATCGGGAGTAAAATATTCGAACTTCATTACACGTGTTTAAAACCATCGGAAGTTTTCAACGGTCGAAAATTATTCGACGTTATAGCTCGGAAACATAAAAATTCCAAGAATAAAACAAAATTTTTTAAGAAAATTTAGCGCTAGTGAAAATTTCCAAGAAAATGTAAAGCACTCAAAAAGAACATTATTGTCGAGAAGTTTTCCGATTGCACTCGCCTCTCGTGCTGAAGTAAAACCTATAATAATTGGTCCGTTAAAAATTTCCATTCAATAAAATCGGAGCTTCGTAATGGAACCATCAACACGATATATGCAGGTACTTATCCTAAACATCTTTATAGAAAAATATTTTGTGATGGTTATTCAATAAAAAGAAAACAAAAACAAAAAAATTTGAAACTATAAAAACTATATAAAATAAATAATACAAAATACTACATAAGAACCCGACTAAAACCTAGAATTTTAACAAAACGAAATGCAAATAAGTGTTTTTCGTTTCAAACACTCGGTACAGTTCTTACATAGTCAACTCATAGCTTTGGTTCAAGAAAATAACATTTAAACATAATTACCGGACTAGAAGTATAATACGCCCTGTAGAATTCTTATCGATACGGACTATGGGGGAGAAATTTGCTTGGTATAAAATTCATAAGATCGTTAATCTGGTAGTTTCGGATTCATCACAGGTATCACAAAGTCTTCCATGTTGGGTATTACCATGATTTTCTGAAAATTAACAAACAGCACGAATTCAGAGATATCGTACGGAATAAACCCATTTATTTAAGTACTGTCAAATATCCACGATCTTTCCAAAACCTTTTCATCAATAAAGAACATGAACTATTGGCCAAATTCGAAGTAAACAACTGTTGGACTAAAAACATAACCTACAAAGTATGTCGCACTCTGACGGTAATTAACGCTAAAACAACACTAAAGCTATTTTGTGTTTGAGTCCCCTCAAAAAAAACGGCACGTTTCATCCAATGCTGCTCAGGGTATATGGTCAGCAGAGTAGTTGTTTTCTACAATATCGTCAGTTAATAAGTTTATTTTACCCAGCTTAAATTTTCAACTTCTTTAAATTTTTTTCTTATAACTGTCATTTTTTCAATAATATTCGAGATAACTGGCTATATTTCCTTCCCATGGTCATTTGCATTGCAAATTGGTGAGAAACAGGTAACTCCCTACCATAAAGTCGACAATCTTACTGGAATTAATGTTAAGATTTATGACTCTCCTTCATCATTTTTTATTAGTAATTTCCATCAATCATAAATCCAACCTGTCCGGTAAAATCGTACCACCTACTAGGCTTTTCTGCTTGACAGTAGGTATAGAAAAAAATGTTCAACAAAAATATTAAATTTAAAAAGTACTTAGTACGTATGTGACATTCATGTATGTAACGAGCGTTCAAATAGAAACGTGGTCAAGTTGGTTCTGAAAATTTGGACGTAGGGCGTAGCATATAGCAAATGAACTTAAACGTCATCTGTCAAAGCGCTATATCACCGCTATCAATTTGAATATTTTCGTTTTAAAAAGCGTTTAAAATGGTGTTTTCTCAAGAACAAAAAGTGTTTATCATAGAGTCCTACTTTAGAAATGGACGCAAGATTGATGGAATATGGAAGTATTCTATTGAGGAATGTTTCATAGAATTTCAAAATCAATTTCCCG